AAAGCAATTGTATAGCCCCTGTTCAATTGGATAATATATTTTATTTTATTTTTCAAGGAAAAGAATAAATCTTTTTAGCTTTTGGTTTAATTTGTCTAGATGCTAGATCCGGGTAATTTTTTCTTCTTCCATCATGTAAATCTCCATTTCCAGAGTGAATAGCAGGCAGCAATATCTTGGGCCCTCTCTGACCTGTCTGCTGTCTTCTGTGAATATGTTCTGATTTTCACCTTCCACTAACACTCTTCTGGAAAGCATCTCGATCTTGGGTGGAATATTCCCCTCAGAGGACTTGGTTGCTTTTCTTACTCTGACCTCAAGATTTACCTGCAAAAAAATGACTTACAAGCCAAGCTCTGCAAATAACAGCAAATAAATATATCCTTCTAGTAAAACACCATATTTCTTTCTCAAACATACAGATTTTCCCCAGGTCTGAAATTCATCAACTTAATTAAAATGTTAACAAATACATTAAGATATAATCTTAATATTATTATCTTAATATTTGAGCAGACAATACCTACTAAGATGTAAAGTTTCTTAGCTCCACTGAGTCTACACCTACTTCAGGGCCAAGTGTATTCTGAAGTTGGCTTTGGCTTAAGCGAGCTATTTTTAGTTCATACCGTCTGTAATCATGATTAGTTACTTATATATTCTTAGTATTTATAATTTTGTAATAATCATGCCATTTACTGACTACAGGCTCGATATTAAATTCTATACACGTGTAATGTCATTGTTTTATGATGTCTTGTCTTCTCTTATTCCAGCATTAGGCAGAGAACAATGCTTATTGAATAAACAACTGAGTGCCTTGATTAAAACTTAAAAACCTGATTTGGGATCATTTTTTTTTCTGAAGGTACAACTAAGAATGGGATCTTTCTCTTCTAAAATCAGCATTAACTTGTATTAAGCACTTATTACACAACAGGCACTGTCTGTGTTCTGTACGTGTTTTGTCCTGTTTAATGCTCAGAATGATCTTATTTGGTGTGTACCATTATCAAGATCCTTCTGGTGAGAATGAAGAAGCCAAAACACAGCGAGGCTGGTGGGGTGAGCTACTTGCCCACAGCCGTAACATTCACGAGTGGTGAAACTAGGGCTACACACCCATGTGGGCTGGCACCAGAGAACACTTCTTAACCAGAGCACACCACCCTGCCTCCCAGAGGCAACCTGGCTGAGCTAACACAAAGAAGGCAGCTCTCTGATGTTGATGCCCACCGTCCCCAGGCTAGCGGGGGAGGATGGAGAGACATCCTAGCATAGCCATCTCCTAGCATAGGCATCTCTTGGGCATGCCACCAAGAGAAGAGGAGAGGGTGTGTTGAAACATCTGGCGAGCCCCTGAGAAAACTGGCTGCTGGCCCATCGGATCAGATAGCCAGTAGGCAATAGAACATGGTACATGCACATGTGTTCCTTTTATTAATAGAATTGAAATAGGTTGCCCCGGAGAGAAGACAAGCCCAATACAAAAGGGGTTAATTGAGTATGCACTTGACTCTTCGTAAGATTGATGGCCATGAGTTCATCAATTAGGATGGCCAGGCAGCAGCACCTGCTGGTCTTTGTAAAACAGTCCACTGCGCCATGCACGCCACCGTGTCATTCACACCACCTCAACATGCAC